TCCATTTTATTAGGCTCATTCATGAAAATCAAATAAATTTGATGATTGTATGGTACCACTATTGCTTCTATGCTTATTTTGATCTAGTGGTAGCATGTGACATGTTTGTGGACTTTTAAATCTAGTGTTTAATATAGAAAATGAGCTCTAAGTGTTTAACTCAACATGGTATAAGATAACCCTTATTTGGAGGTGTGAAGAAGCTTGTCCTTGGATCAAACCGAGTTAAATATCTTTGGCAAATGATCTAGATTGGACCAAATTTGGAAAAATGATCCTCGCCCCATTGATTGACATTGATAATCTCAACCTATCTATATTTTGAACCTTTGTGGTCATTGATGACAAAGGAGAAGAGAAATAAAGATATAAGTGATAGGGGGAGAAATAACAAAGATATTAGTACATAGAGATATTAGTACATAGAAAGACAAAAGATATATTAGTGTACTAAGAGGGAGAATTTGACATAGGGGGAGAAATATGACAAAGGAAAGGAATCAATTAAGATTTTCAGCACACAAGTAGGGGGAGCAAGCTCATAAACTTGTATGGTGCATTTGAATGTGCATTTCATATGTTTGCTTGCATGGCACAAGTTTTAAATTTCAATATCCATGCTTGTGTGGTGTATGCTAGTTGTAGATTTGAATGATAAAATAAAAAACTAGCATGCATAGGTTATCTAGTGATTTCATTTCCAAGTGTTGTTTCCAAGTGGTATCAAGCTAACCATGATGCTAAGGATGGTATAATGGTGCACTCCGATTGGTATCACGCTTCAAAGGTCCATCTTTTATACCTTAGCATCTTTGGTAGACATTGACTCCTATATTTCCTATCTAAGCATATGTGCAAGCTACAATCCAAACTCTTAACACATACGTAGGGGGAACAATTGCTACCATTTGGGGTTCATGAAACTTGTCCATATCCTTTTACACATAGTAAATATGCTTGGGTAAGCAACATGGATTCAATTGAATTTCAATTCATATCTTTGTGAAAGGGTTATCATCAATTACCAAAAAGGAGGAGATTGAAAGCTCTAGTTTAGTTTTGGTGAATTGATGAAACCCTAAGTGCAAACCTAGTTTATCAAGTGATCATGAGATAGGTAGCACATTTCAAGTGGTGAAGCAAATGAAGATCATGACATGACAATGGTGATGCCATGGTGATGATCAAGTGCTTGGACTTGAAAAAAAGAAAGAGAAAAACAAAGGGCTAAAGGCAAAGATATAAATTGTAGGAGCTATTTTGTTTTGGTGATCAAGATACTTAGAGAGTGTGATCACATTTAGGTTTAATAGCCGTACTATTAAGAGGAGTAAAACTCATATCGGAATGCGGTTATCAAAGTGCCACTAGATGCTCTAACTCATTGCACATGCATTTAGGATCTAGTGGAGTGCTAACACCCTTGAAAATGTTTGTGAAAATATGCTAACACATGTGCACAAGGTGATACACTTGGTGGTTGGCACATTTGAGCAAGGGTGAAGAAGATAGAGGTGAAAAAGAGTTGGTCTCGCTGGTCACAAAGTGACTGGACGTTGGTCTCAGAAGGTCCGGCGCGTCCGGTCAAACGTGACAGCATAGACGCTAGCTTTGGTCAAACGACCGGACGCTGGGTCTCGGACTGACTGGACGCTGAAAGGCTGCGTTCGGTCCCAGCTGACGTGGCAGCATAGTGGTCAGGGTAACTGACCGGACGCTGGCTGTGTTCGGTCAAGCATGACCGGACGCGTCCGGTCGAAGAAATTTGTTTCTAGAACCTTACTGGAAACGACTGGACGTTGGAGGCTGTGCGTCCGGTCATTTTGTGCGCTACGTCCGGTCAGCAGACGACCGTTGAAATCTGACGAATAGTATTTGAAGCAGGGGACACGTGGCGTGAATCACGTGACCGGACGCTGAGGTCCAGCGTCCGGTCAATATGACCGGAGCGTTCGGTCACCCCGTGTTGTGTCCAGTGAAGGGGTACAACGGCTCTATTTCATGGGGGCTTCTATTTAAGCCCCATGGCCGGCTTAAGCTCACTCTCTTGGCCATTTACATTGACATAGCAACTTTGTGAGCTTAGCCAAAGCCCTCCCACTCATCTCCATCATAGATGCATCATCTTTGTGAGATTAGGAGAGAATTCAAGTGCATTGCTTGAGTGTTTGCATCTAGAGGCATTTGGTGTTCGTGTTTCGCTATGGAATTCGCTTGTTACTCTTGGTGGTTGCCGCCACCTAGACGGCTTGGAGCAGCGAGGATCGTCGAGTGGAGGGTGGTGATTGTCTTCGGCTCCGATCGTGGTGATTATGAGGGGTTCTTGACCTTTCCCCGGCGGAGAGCCAAAAGGTACTATAGTGGATTGCCCGTGGCTTGTGTGATCCTCATCTTGTGTTGGTTGTGCGGCACCCTATTGAGGGTTTGACGTGTGAAGCCAATTAGCACGTGAACCTCCAAGTGAGTGAATCGTCACAACGAGGACTAGCTTGCCGGCAAATAAGTGAACCTCGGTAAAAAATCATTGTGTTCGTCATTGATTCCGAGGTGATTGGTCTTCATTGTTATTCATCCTTGTGATTGATTGATTTCTTCATCTACACGGCGGTATAACTTTTCCGATCACTCTCTTTATATTACCGCAAACTAGTTGTCAAGCTCTTTAGTGTAGCTAGTTGTGAGAGCTTGCTTGCTTGGTTGGTGTGGCTCTTTAGTTAGCCTTTGAGAGCACGCTAACATAGGGTAGTGTCATAGCTATTGTGTGAATAGATACTATTTAAATTAGAATTGTGGTAGGTGGCTTATATTTTGAGTAGGCTAGCGCAACTTTTGTTTCGCCTTATAATTGTCTAACCTTTTTGTTAAGTGTTGTTGTAGAAATTTTTATTAGGCTATTCACCCCCCCTCTAGCCATTAGGACCTTTCACCTTTCCCCGGCAGAGAACCAAAAGGTACTCTAATGGATTGCTCGTGGCTTGTGTGATCCTCATCTTGTGTTGGTTGTGCGGCACCCTATTGAGGGTTTGGCGTGTGATGCCAATTAGCACGTGAACCTCCAAGTGAGTGAATCGCCACAACGAGTACTAGCTTGCCGGCAAGCAAGTGAACCTCGATAAAAAATCATTGTGTCATCATTTTATTCTGAGGTGATTGGTCTTTATTGGTATTTATCATTGTGATTGATTGGTTCACTCCTTAATACGGTGGTATAACTATTTTGCTCTCTCTCTCTTTACAATACCGCAAACTAGTTGTCATTTTCTTTAGTGTGGCTAGTTGTTATAGCCTGTTAGTTTGGTTAGTGTGACTCTTTAGTTAGTTTTTGAGAGCGCACTAATTTAGTGTAGTGACATAGCTATTGTGTGGATAGAAACTATATAAACTAGAATTATGGTAGGTGGCTTGCAATTTTAGTAGGCTAACACAATATTTGTTTCGTCTCATTATTATTTAACCATTTTATTAAATATTATTATAGAAATTTTTAATAGACTATTCATCTCCTATTTCATTAAGACCTTACACCGCTCCTGGTGTGCATCTCAGAGACGGACATCCTGCGGGACCGCAACCTGGAGCTGTGCAGGCGTGGAGCAGGCCATGTACGGCGGCGGCGGGCACACGTTCTAGGTGCTCCACAACTGCCACCTATCCTAGTCACGGACGCAAGAGATGCTCGCACACATCAAGGCCTTCGTCAATGCCACTGCAACCGCCGCCTCCGTTCGTCTTCGTTGGACCCTAAGCTGAGGCTTGTTTGGTTTCAAATAAGTTATTTATTTATAAGTTAAAAAGTAAAAAAATGATTTATTTTACCAAACACCATTAACTTATAAGTCACTCCTGCTTATAAGTTTTAAGTTGGTTCACCCCTTCTTAAAACTTATAAGTTACCCTTTTTTACGTGGGGCCTATATCTTTAATGAGCTTATAAGTCATTTACAACCAAACAGGCATAACTTATAAGTCACTGGTTTTCAGTCACCTGACTAAATAAGTCACCTGACTTATGGAAACCAAACAGGGCCTAACACTCGCCGTCGCCGTGTTAATCAATCCACCATCCACCACCTAATCCTAATCCAATTGGGGCACTGTCTTGCCGCTCGCCGGTCCTCTCCCGGTGGCCGGCGCGAGCGCGTCTCGCTGCTCACCGCAGGCACCAGCCCAGGCCACAGCCACACCATCTTCGCCCAGCTGGCCGGCCACATGTGCCCAAATAAAAAAGAGGTGAGGAAGAAGAAAGAGGCATGGGCATAACGGACATTTCACTGCTCTTCTTTCTTCTCGAAACTCAGAAATGAATATTTTATTTAGTCCGTGGACATATTTAGTCCGGTGTCCACCAACAAATTTGACAAGAAACAGAGTGTCTATGAGCAAACTGCTCCATTTGACATATCCATAACCAATTTTGCAAAAAAAAAAAACGATAACAAACCCTTGTTTGATAACATCGATAGGTAAGCTATCAGAGAGCATTTAACGAACTGAACCAGCCTGATGTCCAATAAACCAAATCGCCATGTGTGGCCAAAATGCATTACATTATCAGAAAACAACCTGAAAAAAGCCATTTTAATTACTTGAGGGACAATAGCACAATGCTCACGTTAGAAGATAGAAGGGTATGAGCTAGTGAACAAATAGCAACAGGATAACAACTTATCTACAAATACACATATCACAGAAACACTACATTTCTATTTGCATCATGTAACCCAATTTTTTTGAATAAAAGGTTTCCCCAGCTTTATTATAGATATAAAGCGAAATATAAATGTAACCCAATTTCAGAGCACATAAAACTGAACCGTAGTAATAATAAGAAGAAGAAAAAACAACAGCACGGTAGCTTTGCCTGTTTCACAACTGGCGACTGGAAGCGCGGCCGGTGTGTGTGACCTCCAGCAGTCCAGCTGTCGGTCTGCCGCTGCTTGTTCGCTCTCAACTCCTACTTCACCTCGTATCGGACACTCGACCATCTCGTCTCATCAATCATGGCGCCCCAAAGCAGCTGCCGAGGCCGCGAGGACCAAACCCTAGCGTCCTCCGCTGCCGCTTCCCCTCGCCCCCCGGCGTTGGCGCCTGCGTCGGTGGTGGAGACGAAGACGATGACAACGGTCGCCGACCTCACGGACGTCGTCCTCCAGGACATCCTCCGCCGCCTCACCCCCGCCGACCTCCTCCGCGCGGCGCTCGCCTGCCACCGCTGGCGCCGCGCCGCCACCCGCGTCCTCCCACGCGTGCCGCCCCTCCTCGGCTACTTCTTCCACCCCAAGAACCCCTCAAGCCGCCCCCAAGCCGACGTCAGACAAGACCCACCACCCTGCCGTCTTTCTCCCGCTCGACGCCTCCTCCCCGCGCCTCTCCCTCGACCTCACCACGGGCGCTGCCAGCAGCCTCTCCATCCAGGACGTCCACCTCGGTCTCGTCCTCGTCCTCCCTCATTCGCGCCCCAAGTCGCTCCTGCCCCGCATCCTCGTCGTCGACCCGGCGTCGCGCCGCCGCGTCCTGCTCCCGCCGCCACCGCGCGAGGTGCTGCCAGCCGATGGCTGGCGCCGCGACAGGTGCATCATCGGCGTCGCCGTTCTCACGCGCGCGCACCCTAGCAGGCTCACCTTCGACGCCGTCTGCCTCACCATCGACGGCGACCGCCCGCGCGCCTGGGTCGCGTCCGTCCGCGAAGGCAACTGCTCCTGGCGCGCGCTGCCGAGGGCCGAGGGGGTCGTCGTGGACTTCGACCCGTGGTGGTTCGAGGCCCGCTGCGTCCTCGCCGCTGGGAACATCTACTGGCACATCTGCAACTCCAGCCGCTTACTCCAGCTGGATCCTTGCACGCTGGACTTCTCGTTCATGCCCGTGCCTGCCGTCCTGGGGGATCGCTTCAAGAAGTACCGCATCGGAGAGATGCCGGAGGACGGTCGTCTGTGCATGGCATCGATCGTTCACGAAGAGAGTCTGCAGATTTGGGTGCGTGGAGAGGCCAGGAGGAGTGACAGGGGGTGGTTGCTGGAGAGGGAGATTTGCATGACCAAAGTGCTCGAAACCGTGCCTGGGCTACCCAAGAACAGCATGATGCGGATGCTTTGCACCTGGCTCAGCGACATGGACTACGCTCGCACCGGGAAGGTGTTCATCTGTACATGGGGATATGGGCGCTACGCGTTCCATCTGGAGACCGGCAAGCTGGAGCGTTTGGTGATGAAAGATGGCAAGGAGCACGGAGACCCTATCTATGCCTACACCTTGGCCTGGCTGCCTGAGTTCCTCACTCCAAGTCTCCAAGAAACTGACTTTCCTGTAATTTCCATTCCATAGCTTTGTTTATAACAAGTTTTGCTTGATGAAATGCTCCATTAATTATTTTTTTATGATTATCTGTATACTCTGATGCATGCATATTTTGTCATAGCATCTTGCTGAAGTAGAGGGAACGTATCCTTTTCTTTTTGGATTTGTTATACAGTTATTACTCTCACTTACTCGCAAAATTTTAGAACATGGAAATTAGCACATAGTTGTAGAAAGCTTGATGGTAATCAGTTTGGTGAATAGTGTTCCCTCCGGTAGCTTTAGGATGTGGTATATACTTACATTTGCTACAAACTAATTTCTCAATAAGTTCTCTATACTTAATTACCAAATTTGAAGTTTGTGTTGGGCAACGCAGTATTATTCACTCCAGATTGACTTCCTTTTGAATTGGTAATAATTTTTTATTATGTGTGAATTTGAGGAACTGCTTTGGTTATTTCATTTCTCAGTTGTCAACTTCACAAATTTTGAGTTTCATGTACTTCAGGCTTTGTTGTAACTTGCACTTGTGCAATTGAGCCTTTTATGGGTTATATATACCTTGTGTGTCTAGATACTAAACCTGAGTGTTAACACAAAGGAATACTATAATTGAAACTTCACATTCTGTAGAACTCCACAACAAGAAGCATGCATGGGGCCCCATCTATGCCAACTCCTTGTTCTGGATGCCTGTGTTCCTCGTTGATTTTTTGCTGAGACATTGCTTGGCATCCATGTTCACGTCACTTGTTTATGTGAAGTTGCTTGATCAAATAGAGATCAATCTTTTATGTGTTTGTGTCCTGGGTGATTTGATGCATGCACAGTAGTTTGTAAGCTGGTTGCAGACTGCAGCGGAAGGCGCTAGCATGTTCCCTTGTTTCTGATGGTTATGATCTATTGGCTACCTAAATGTGGTGACAGATCTCTGTATAGTAGGAGCCAGTTGTCGATATTAGAATATGTCGTCCAATGATCTAATGTATTTTCCAGGCACCTATTAGAAGGATACTTGATGATCCTACATTTGATGTGTTATGTACCTTGCAGTGGCTTTGGTAGGCTGTTGTATTTTGAACAAACAAAATGCTTTTAATGTCTTTGTTTTGTGTTTAGGAACCTGTTTAATACTTTGCTTTTACATAGCAGTTTTGTTCCTTAGATTTGGGTTTTCCAAACAAAAAGAAGTTCTATCTTTACTACTAATAGCTTTTAGTCTAGGTTTTGAATCTGCAGATCTGTTTGACTTTGATTGTTGCTTGAATCCAAGAAGTTGCTGTTTTTAGTTTGTTTGCTCGGTTGCTTAAATAATGGTTTCAAATTTTTAGTTTGATCAGGTCTAGGTTTAGTTTGAGCCTCTTTGCTTATGCTAAATTAGTTAACCAAATTTCACAATATTTAATAAACACAAGCAACCAAACTTTATATTCTTTAGAATTGCTAGAATATATAACTATCTTTAGACCTGATTCAGTCTTGCCAACTTTATATATTTGATAGCATAGTTTCAACTCTTGTGTGATATGTATGCATTTCATGTGTCTGAAATCTGCCAGATATAGTAGTACTTGTGTATTTTCAGGAGTTCTATATAGTCTGAAACGGTACTTTTGTACCTTTTATTAAGCATCAGAATTATGTGTTGATATGTTAGGCATTGTCACCTAGCATTTAATAATTGCTGTCATTAATGATAATGAAAGCCTACCCCAACTTGCTTGGGACTGAAAGGCTATGTTGTTGTTGTTGTTGTTGTTGTTGTTACGATAATGAAGGATATATTGCCACCTTAGCGGGTCTTTACACAAAATTAGAGAATCCACATTACCAATTTGATGATTCTTAAGCTATGACTGATTACTCCTTCAATTTTAACAAGAGTTACGGTTCAATTCTATTATCTTTGCAATTGATTAGGGCAATATTGCAGGGGATTTGACTATTTTACCAATTTGTTTACTTAGATGGTTTTATTCTCTTATCTTTGCATGAATTTCTGCTGATGAAATGAATTACTAGAAAAACCTGAGACCTATGAAAGTATACTGTGATCGTTGTTTGGCACTTGTGAACTTTAAACATCACATATACTTGGGATCCATTTTCTGGTTTTTCTGGTTGCAAGCCAGTTTGGCTTATTTACCGATTACACTTGTTGTTTTATCATCCAAATCCAATCTGTTTGGTTCCTAGGCAGTTGGAATTGTGCTAACAACTATTTCTTCTTTATGATTCAGGTTGTTGGCCAGTGAGAGAAGATAACAGTGACGCAAAAATCAGCTCACCTCTTTGGTTTCTGGGTTACTAGTGCCGCGCCATCTTCACTAAAACTCTTTGTTCCGTACTGTATGAGTTAATGCAGACAAAGCTACTGCTGAACTTGTCTTTCGCATTTTCCGACTAAGATGGCATTCTGAAGACACTAGTAGGGTGTGCCACGTTATGCTGGTTCCAGGCAAAACATATATGCTTTCTTGTCATGAGATATTTGTCCCATTAGATTAAGATGTCATATTGAAGACATTAGTTTGGAATGTCTCGCGCTGTGCTGTTTCAGCTGCTGAACCGTGGATTTGTTCGTCACACAAAGTACCATCTATCATGTTCAACCTGTGTTTGCGTATCATGTAGAGTTCATCATTTTGACTTTTTCGAGCTGTGATTCATAAATTGCATACACTTCTAGATTAAACTGTGTCACCATCTTCTCAGCCTAGTTATTTTTTTATTTACTACATGTCAGCCTTCTTCACTTCTCCTCATTGCAGTAGCTGGCGATCGAGGCTGCAAGATGCTCAACAACAGCACGCTGCATGCCCCTGTTACGTTGATGTTGCGTGAGAGTTGCGATTAGCCAGGAAGGCAGTTTGCTATTTGGTGTGTCAGGTTGTAAATATTTGCACCGTGACTATTACTCGCAATTGAAAAATAGGGTTTATTTGCAAATTGGAATATTTTCATCTATCACCATTTGAGGGGCACTTATATCATCTCTAATATCAGCCTATTCAATAACATGTGGGGTCTGGTCCTGCATGTCATTGGCTATATAGCCAAATGGTATAGCCACATGGATGAACACGAAAATCCCCACTATAATATCAAGCCGCTATGTTCGTATCAGCGTTTGCATATGAACTGGTAATAATGAATAGATAATGCGCATTTACAAAGCTGGATTTCAACGCACACAAAACTGCCACTAAATGAAAGCCAGTGCGCTTATGGACGTTGGAATTAACGCCGGCTACTTCTGCAGGCTAGCTCGGGATCGGATCCGCGAAGAGCAGTGGAGAGATGTCGAAGCCAGGATCATCAGGCAACATGTTATACATGCAGTCCAGTCCATCGTACACGTCCATGGGCTTGTACCCGGTCAGCCCCTCGAGCTCCCTGCTCCACCTCCGCACCTGCTCGCGGTCGTGCGGCGCCGGCTCCAGGCACAGCCTCGCAAGCAGCACCCTGTTCGCTTGCTTATCAGCCATGATTTCTCTCACAGGACCGCGGCCGCCGCCACATTGGACGGCAGGGCTTCACGCAGCGGTGGTCGAACAGAGACAGGTCGGTCCTGGCCGACGTGCTTCCTCGTGAAGTGCTCCACGAACGTGTGCGCCGTGGGCCCGTCGAGCCGGTCCCCGAGCGCCGCGAGCAGGGCGCGCTCCGCGTCCAGCACCTCCTGGCTCGCCGCGAACCCGCAGCAGGTGGCGATGTCCCTCGCGTTCATCATCCTCGGCGCGGTGTCCCTGCTGTCCTCGTACTTGGACGCGGCGTAGACCGCCGCCGCGCCCAGGAGACGGAGCTGGTAGTCGTCGTCGTCGATGTCGTCGGCGCCCGTGGCCGTGACGGCTCTCGCCGAGAGGAAACGGTCGGCGTAGCTGACGGCGCGGTGGAGCGCGTCCTGGCCGACGCCGAAGTGCCGGGCGAAGTCGTGCATCCACGGGACCAGCGCGGCACGCGCCACGGCGTCCGTGCAGCCCCGCGACGGCCGCTGCCTGGCGTCTGTCTCCATGGCCCGGAGGCTGGTGCCGATGTCGTCGTCGTCGCTGTCATAGTCGTAGGTAGCCGGGGCGGCGGCACCGTCGTCGTCGTCGTAGGACGAAGCAGTGGGCGCCGGCTGGACGTGGGCATTGGCGGGCGGAAGCGGAGGGAGGACTCCGATGGCGCGGAAGTAGTTGTCCAGCTGCTCCATGCATGTCCATGGCCTCGTAGCCGCCGCCGCTGCCGGAGAATGGATCGAAGCCGAGGGGCAGCGGTTGACTGACTGAAGCTCGTAGGCGAAGGGATCCATGATCTCCATCTCCGAGAGAGCTAGCGCGAGAGAGAAACGAGAAGCCCGGTGGCATGGTGCGCTGGTGGCGGCGGCGGCGAGGAAAGGAAACTGTATATAGAAGAAAGAAGAAGACAGGAGGCGAGCGGCGTGCGTATGTCGCGCTCACGTTCCCAGCCTATTTATGCACGCACTCCATATCTCCTCTTCGAGATGGGAAATCGACTCGGTGACGGAATCCGACTTGCACCGTGAACCGCAGCTGTTACCAAAAATAGCCGTGCGCGCGCCAGAACTCCCGGTTTCCGCACGGCGAGCGGAGAGGTTTGGCAGGGATGGCGGGGGACTGCACGAGGAGTTTCCAAAGCGCCGACGTCACGCGATCCTACGCTACACGGCGGTTGTTTTGCACTTTGCATGCAGCGTCGGTCTTTGGGTCGGAGTCCAACCGAGTGGGTGAGGCTCACAGCGCACGTACGCCGGCGCTGCCATATTCTCTGAGAATCTGCACAGAGCGCAGCAAACAGATCTGAATGGGAGCAGACTCGCGCCGAGATAAACAGGTCGCCGTAGAGACTAGAGACGGCGCGGCCTGCTCCAACGGCAGCCTGGCGGCTGGCTTTTCCGCGTGGGCGACTCGGCACCCTGCTCCCCGTGCGTGAGCGCCGCCATGGCGCGAATTCGCACAACGCGTGGAAGGGAGGAACGTGCCAACAACTCGGAAAAGTTTTCCGCACGCTGCACCTGCCCGGAAGTCCTATCCGCAAACGCGCTAATCTGAACTTCCGAAGTTTGAAAGTGTCATAAAAAATCAATACCAATCCTATGTGTTTTTTAGAAAGTTCGTTGATCTTGATTTGTGGTGCCAGTGCCACTCTGGTTCTTAACTTGCTCTCTTCGAGCTGTGATTCATAAACTGCATACACTTCCTAGGCCTTGTTTAGAGGCGATGGTTGGGAATATATTTGATACTTCGGCAAGACTTTCGTCATTTGACAATTATTGTCCAATCATTAACTTAGGCAGCCAAAAGATTCGTCTCGTAATTTACAATCAAAATATGTAATTAATTTTTTATTTACATTTAATACTCCATACATGTGTCCAAATATTTGATGTGATGGAGAGAGAATGAAAAAATAGAATCTAAACAAGGCCCTAGATTAAACTGTGTCACCCATCTTCTCAGCCTAGCTTGTGTCAGCCTTCTTCACTTCTCCTCATTGCAGTAGCTGGCGATCGAGGCTACGTTGCATGCCCCTGTTACGTTGATGTTATGCGATTAGCCAGGAAGGCAGTTTGCTATTTGGTGTGTCAGGTTGTAAATATTTGCACCGTGACTATTACTCGCAAAAAAATAGGGTTTATTTGCAAATTGAATATTTTCATCTACTATCACCATTTGAGGGCACTTATATCATCTCTAATATCAGCCTATTCAATAACATGTGGGGTCTGGTCCTGCATGTCATTGGCTATATAGCCAAATAATATAGCCACATGGATGAACACGAAAATCCCCACTATAATATCAAGCCGCTATGTTCGTATCAGCGTTTGCATATGAACTGGTAATAATGAATAGATAATGCGCATTTACAAAGCTGGATTTCAACGCACAAAACTGCCACTAAATTAAAGCCAGTGCGCTTATGGACGTTGGAATTAACGCCGGCTACTTCTGCAGGCTAGCTCGGGATCGGATCCGCGAAGAGCAGTGGAGAGATATCGAAGCCAGGATCATCAGGCAACATGTTATACATGCAGTCCAGTCCATCGTACACGTCCATGGGCTTGTACCCGGTCAGCCCCTCGAGCTCCCTGCTCCACCTCCGCACCTGCTCGCGGTCGTGCGGCGCCGGCTCCAGGCACAGCCTCGCAAGCAGGACCGCGGCCGCCGCCACGGCGGACGGCAGGAGCTTCACGCAGCGGTGGTCGAACAGAAACGAGTCGGCGATGGCGTGCGCCCTGCGCCGCACCTCCTGGCCGACGTGCCTCCTCGTGAAGTGCTCCACGAACGTGTGCGCCGTGGGCCCGTCGAGCCGGTATCCGAGCGCCGCGAGCAGAGCGCGCTCCGCGTCCAGCACCTCCTGGCTCGCCGCGAACCGGCAGCAGGTGGCGATGTCCCTCGCGTTCATCATCCTCGGCGCGGTGTCCCTGCTGTCCTCGTACTTGGACGCGGCGTAGACCGCCGCCGCGCCCAGGAGACGGAGCTGGTAGTCGTCGTCGTCGATGTCGTCGGCGCCCGTGGCCGTGACGGCTCTCGCCGAGAGGAAACGGTCGGCGTAGCTGACGGCGCGGTGGAGCGCGTCCTGGCCGACGCCGAAGTGCCGGGCGAAGTCGTGCATCCACGGGACCAGCGCGGCACGCGCCACGGCGTCCGTGCAGCCCGGCGACGGCCGCTGCCTGGCGTCTGTCTCCATGGCCCGGAGGCTGGTGCCGATGTAGTCGTCGTCGCTGTCATAGTCGTAGGTAGCCGGGGCGGCGGCACCGTCGTCGTCGTCGTAGGACGAAGCAGTGGGCGCCGGCTGGACGTGGGCATTGGCGGGCGGAAGCGGAGGGAGGACTCCGATGGCGCGGAAGTAGTTGTCCAGCTGCTCCATGCATGTCCATGGCCTCGTAGCCGCCGCCGCTGCCGGAGAATGGATCGAAGCCGAGGGGCAGCGGTTGACTGAGAAGCTCGTAGGCGAAGGGATCCATGATCTCCATCTCCGAGAGAGCTAGCGAGAGAGAAACGGAGAAGCCCGGTGGCATGGTGCGCTGGTGGCGGCGGCGGCGAGGAAAGGAAACTGTATATAGAAGAAAGAAGAAGACAGGAGGCGAGCGGCGTGCGTATGTCGCGCTCACGTTCCCGGCCTATTTATGCACGCACTCCATATCTCCTCTTCGAGATGGGAAATCGACTCGGTGACGGAATCCGACTTGCACCGCGAACCGCAGCTGTTACCAAAAATAGCCGTGCGCGCGCCGGAGCTCCCCGGTTCCGCACGGCGAGCGGGAGAGGTTTGGCAGGGATGGCAGGGGACTGCACGAGGAGTTTCCAAAAGCGCCGACGTCATGCGATCCCACGCTATACGGCGGTTGTTTTGCACTTTGCATGCAGCGTCGGTCTTCGGAGTCGGAGTCCAACCGAGTGGGTGAGGCTCACAGCGCACGTACGCCGGCGCTGCCAGATTCTCTGAGAATCTGCACGGAGCGCAGCAAACAGATCTGAATGGGAGCAGACTAGTGGAGCCGGGCGGCGTCCGCCAGGCCTCGCGCCGAGATAAACAGGTCGCCGTAGAGACTAGAGACGGCGCGGCCCGCTCCAACGGCGGCCTGGCGGCTGGCTTTCCGCGTGGGCGACTCGGCACCCTGTTCCCCGTGCGTGAGCGCCGCCATGGCGCGAATTCGCACAGCGCGCGGAGAGGAGGGAACGTGCCAACAACTCGGAAAAGTTTTTTCGCACGCTGCACCTGCGCGGAAGTCCTATCCGCAAACGCGCTTCTCTGAACTTCTGAAGTTTGAACCCGGACGCACGGTTATTTGTCAGTCTCATCTGTCAAAGCTGCGAACAGCTCGACTGGTTCGAACACAACAGATCGCCGATGCAGATTGCAGCGCTGCTTCCACTATTTCGTCGACGCCAACAGCAATATCAAATCGAACACTATTGCTAGTTATTGGCTCCATCACGAAATGGCCAAATGCTCGCATATTTAGATAGGAGTACCGTGCATCAACCTCTGCAGACCGCAGTGAATATAGGGACTCGGTCTTCACTCTTGAGAACTGTCTTACTGCTCCCTCGAAAAGAACAATTCAATGTATATTAATTCCAAAATATGAAAAGTTTCAATCTCTCATTCTCTCCTCACCTTTCAGACCGCCGTAATTCTGGGTACATGCGTTCGTACGGGACTCCCGTCCGGACGTGGGTACGCGGCTCCATAGAAGCAGGCCCATCTCACTCACAAATAGGAAATCAACTGTTCGCTTGATCGTATCAATCATGCTTATTAACTATGATACGGTGTTTTTCTCTCATAATAAAACAGCATCAGCCGGCTTATAAGCCATAGAAACGATCTAAGCGAACAGGGTGCAAATCCTCACTCGCTCATCTTTATCCGTGCGGTGCCCGACGCAGCAGCCTGCTGCTCATTCGTCCGCGCCTCTTCCTCCACAGTCCGCTCGTTGGCTGCTGCGCCGTGCCTTTTGCCCCACCGCCCCGCGCCCCATCGCCGGCCACGTTGCGCGCCCGTCCAATCACCTGTGCTGCTCGCTCCCTCGCCGTCCGTCCGTCCGTCCGTCATGCGTGCCACTGACCCCACACATGGCCGCTGGGCGCACGTGCCGTAGTGCCTCAAGTCTTCCCCGACCGAGCGAAGGGCACCCACGAGCGTGGGCGGTGCTGGTGTTGCTCGCGAGCTGCGGCTCGCCGCCGGCTCCTACCTCGGCAGCCGGAATCGACTGGCCCGTCCTTCCCCTCCCCTACGTTGTATATGTATGTTTAAAGTGTTTCAGTCATTTCATATGTATGTTGCAATTGTTTCATCTTGATGTTGCAAAAGTAGATCGGGAGATGTTGCACATGTTACATATGTTACAAGTGTTTCAGATACATGTTGCAAGCATTTGTTCAAAATATTTCATTTGTTTCCATACGTATGTTGCAATCGTTTTTTATCTGGATGTTGTATATGTTGCAACGATTGCAACAGTATGTTCGAGATGTTTCAGCCGTGTTTAGTCTGATGTTGCTACAAGTGATTTCATGTCGTAAGTTACGATTATTTTATTTTGGATGTTTCATATATTTCACACACATGTTACAAGAGCATGTTCTAAATATTTTATCTATTTTTAGTCTCATGTTACATTTATGTTGCAAGTGTGTGTTTTATATTGTTCAGGAACGAACCGGGAGCCGGCAGGAGCCGGCGGACGAGGCTGTTGGGTGCTGACGAACGAGGGTGCTGCAGGTCAAAGCACGCTAGGGAGGTGCTCATCGTCAGCCGCTTATCATGGCTCCCGTGTGTCGCCCGCGC